ATGTGGGGTTTTTTTATCTATAATTTGTTAAAATGATATATTCTGAAAGATTTTACATGTGCACCTCTCAACAGCTCACCAAAACTTGAGTGACCCTCCAGCTGAAATAATTGCCCACCCCTGCTCGTTCCATGTGTAATCAGGCCAGAGCCCTTCCCATGCATGCAAGCAAAGGTCTCATTATCTAGCCTTGAGGGTGTTTTCAAATGGTTCTTTGGGCAGATGTGCTATCTTTTATTAGACCAACTAAAGAGTTGGAAAAATGGTTCTTTGCAAGCTTTCAGGCACAAACACCCTTCTTCAGGCATAGCGGTGAATGGCGTGCTCTCCTGGGTAGCCCAGATGCAGGTCTGTGAAAATGCACATGCGTGGCAGCGAGGATCAGAGGGGATGGGAGACTTCAAAAGGGCCTGCACGGTGTGACCCTGGAGGGCTGAGCTCATGGAGGGGCCGTGCCAACAAACAGCTTGGTTTCCAGGCACTTGAAAGAAAAGCATTTTCTGCAGCTCTCCTTATCTTATCAGGAAGCAGGGGAGCCTGAGTGGGGGAGAGAGGGCAGCCTTGGGACCGCTACCGGGATGGGGTGGAACGCCACGTTCCTTCGATAAGCGTGCAAGGCTGCGCATAATCTGGGAAGGGGGGACGGGGGCAGCCGTGTCTCTGCACCCGGGCTGTGCCCGGCTACCTTGTCCTGCAAGCAGTGCTGCTCCGAGCTGTAATCTCCCCGATTCCTCCAGGATTTGGGGACAAGCAGCTCCTCAGCCAGGGTTAATGAGCATCTCTGTGCTGCGTGGGGGGGTGGGAGCCCTGCTTCTCTGCCCACCTCAGCAGCCTAATGGGATCAGGGGCCTTCAAGACTTCCCTCTGTCCTGTCCCAAGGGGAGAGGGTGAGGAGCATGCAATAGGGAGATCCACACCAATGACCAAGCACCAGTTGGATTTAAGGGGTGGGGGCACATACCCTGACCGTGGCAGGGGTGATAGAGAGCCTGTCTCCACCACAGCCAGGGGCAGGACCAGGGGGAGGCCTGCTCCGACCCCCTTCTTTATACAGGGATTCAAATCGGGCAATGCTAGGGGCCTGGATTAGCCCCAGGGAGGGGCTGAAGCGTGTGGCAAGGATTCATGCCTTGAGTGAATGAAGATGGCCAAGGCCATGGACGGAAACCACCCTTGGCTTGGCTCCGACACCCGTGGGGGGCGGCTGTCTCAGGGGCTGACAACGGGAGAGACTTTTTCTGAGATCCTCTCGGCTTGCACCTGTTGGACAGACCCCGCTGAGAAGGATGGACACTCGCTGCCCTTCTCCAGGGGTTAGCACAGCTGTACTGAGACACAGCGGGGCAGGGGGCAGTGCCTGGGCTGATACCACCCCTGCCTCCAATGCTTGGAAAACACCCAGGGAGCCCACCCATGCATCTGCCCAGGAAAGGACCCGCCTCGACGAATCTCAGGGCTGGGCACATTCACTGCCAGCGGAAACAACTGGCATTGGCATCGTCGCAGCTTCTCAAGCGGCTGCGGGAGCCCAGCCGAGGAGCACAGGGAGGGGAAATTACACAGGCCGTAATGACAGGGTTTTGTTCTCATTAAGAGTTAATGGCAGGGGAAAGAGAGCAGCAGCCCGAGATAATGAGCGCCTGCTGCTAGGTAGATTCAGAGGCATTTATCAAGCCCCAAGGCAGGCACAGGGAAGGCGGGCACGGCACGTGAGCTCCAGTGACGCTGTGCCAGCTGCAACCAGGCACGGAGGATCCAGCATTAGGATCCAGGAGCTCCCCCTGCTACACTCAGCTTAATCCCTGCCCAGGGGGCTCTCCGGCTCCTGCCCCAGACAGGCCTGCTGCAGCTTAAGGACCAAGCCAGGTCTGATTTCCTGCACTTTTACCAAAGAAGCTAGGTCCCAAAGCCCCTGGTTATTGCCCCTGGAAGAGTTATACATCACAGAAGACCCCAAGTGCCATAGGAAGCTCATCGTACCCAGCCAGGCCTTAGCGCTGTGTAAGACGGTCCAGTCCTTTGCTACGCAGCGGCCCAGCAAGCACGTGACGGCCGTTCTGCACTCAGAAACAGCCCAGGCTGCCCCGTGGTCCCTTCACACCATCCACGAGGCAAAGGACTGTCCCACCCTGTCCTGTTGCTGGTCAGTCAGGCAGGCTGCACCCGGTTGTGGCTTGGGTGTGCAAATGGAAGACCAGGGAGCAGTCCCAGGGGCTTGAAGGTGTATTATCTTGTGCCACATTTAAGCTGGCTCTGCTTCACATACGCGTGTATGCTAAGTCGACTTGAAAAAGTTAAGCTGGCTTAACCGTCAGAAAGTTAGTACGTGCGTCCGCCCCCTTTGAGCTCAAGTGCCCCCAGAGCAGAGCCAGGGCTTTCAGCATGGCATTAAAAACTAAATGGAAAGTGATCACTACAAAGTCACAAAGGCCTTCAAACCCGAGTCGATCCTCCGCCTTCGAGAGGGCTGTAGAACAAGCTCAGCTTGATGGTTTCAGCCTCAGACACTGGCAGAGATAAACCCAGCAGTGACTGAAAAGGACTCTGGGAACAGAAGCTAGAACTCAGCCTAGGCTGCAGGCTCTGCTCCTGCAAGGAGCTAGGAAATGGGCCAACACTGCTGCCAGCAAAGGCTGCACTAAGAAACCCAGGAATCAGGACTCATGGTGGAGGCGACCTCTTTTATTAGACCCATTAGATTTTTGCAAAAAAATTCGATTGCAAGCTTTTTTGCAAATTAAAGAAATGTTGCAATGTAATTAAAATTAAATTAAATTAAAATTGCAATTAAATTAAAGGAGATACATTGCAATGAAATTAACATTGCAATCAAAATTGCAGTTAAAGACTTTTTTTTTTTGCAAAAATCTAGTTGGTTTAATAAAAGAGATCACCTCTACCGTGAGTCCTGATTCCTTTCGCCTCTAGACCAATACGGCTATAACCCGGATACCTAAGAAACCCAAGCACTCACCCACAAGCATGTGCTCTGCCCTGAACGGGCCTGTTGATGGGGGAAACGCAGCCGTGCGGTGGAAGCAGGCACTGACACACCATCCATGAGCCATCCTAGTCTGGGTGATATCAGCAAAAAGGGGGCTTGGCCATAATGGCTGGGGACAGTGAACAAGGAAAGGCCCAGCCCCTGAGGCTGTGCGGAGGTAGCAGGTGGGAGAAGGGGACACACAGGTAGCCTGCAACATGGTATCACAAATAAACCCTCAATTAAGCCGACCTCCCCCGGCACAGCACAGAAGCAGGGCAGGCTTGCGGAGAGGACGGTAACCTGGGAGCCAGGGAGCCCTAGTTTCATCACTGACCAGCCATTTAACCCCTGGAGGCTACTCCACCTCCCTGCACAGGCCTGTGCCTCAGTTTCCCCTCCTAAGTGTGTAATTACTATCAGAGCCGGGGCTGTCTTTTACCACGTGCATGTACAGCACCTGGCACTATGGGGTGCCAGTGCCTACTGGGGCCTCTGCAGCCAACAGCAATATACTAATATATTGTGTAATTATACAATATAACGAATGAAGCCTGCCTGGGGCAGGGGAAAAAAGGAAGGGGATGACACTGTTGTCCCAGCGCATCCAGAGCCCCTGACGGAGGGCATGACATGCCTGCAATGGAAAGCTGCTGCTGCTGGGATGCTAATTCACTTAACTCCCGGCCGAGACGGCACTAGAGCTCAGCTTTCTGGAGATGGGGAAAGCAAGGTGAAGCTGTGGCCAGCAGAAGCTGGGAGAACTGGTCTTAAGGAAGATGCAATTCCTTATTTTCATGGACCCTTCCTCACCAAAGGGTCTGAAGAAAACAGGGGGACACTGCGACCCACCATGGAAAAGAGAAGCAGCTCCTTCCTTTATTGCAGGGCCAGAGAGGGAGTTTGCACCAAGAGCTCTAACATGTCAAGAGGGGAATTTTACTGCACGATGGGCTTTTTCCTCCGGGTGTCTTCTTCCTTTCTAGCTCTCTTCTTTCCAGCAGCTGGTAGGGGAACCCAGGTCAAAAGGAAAGGGGTATCAGCAGAAGTGTAAACAGTCAGTCATGGTCTTCCTGGAGCCGCGCGCTCGTCCTGCAGAAACAAGGGAGGGGGAGAAAAGTGAGACGAGGCTGCCCCCTCCCGGCCATGCCTGAAAGAAAATCCACCCACCCACCAGCAATGACTGGTCCAGCCAACGACTTCGACAAACTGGAGGATTGGGCCAAAAGAAATCTCCTGAGGTTCAACAAGGACAAATGCACAGTCCTGCACTTAGGAGGGAGCAATCCCCTGCACCGGGACAGGCTGGGGGTGACGAGCTGGGCAGCAGCGCTGCAGAAAAGGACCTGGGTGACAGGGGACAAGTAGCTGAACAGGAGCTAGCAGTGTGCCTTGGTGCCAAGAAGGCTACCGGCATCCTGGGCTGCATTGGTAGGAGCACTGCCAGCAGACTGAAGGAAGTGATCCTTCCCCTCTATTCAGCACTGGAGAGGCCGCATCTGGAGTCCTGTGTCCAGTTTTGGGCCCCCACTACAGAAAGGATGTGGACATGTTGGAGAGAGTCCAGTGGAGGGCAATGAAAATGGTTCGGGGGCTGAGGGACAGGACTTATGAGGAGAGGTTGAGGGAACTGGGCTTATCTAGTCTAGAGGAGAGAAGACCAAGGGAATTGAATAGCAGCCTTCACCTCCCTGCAGGGGGGCTGCAAAAAGGATGGAGCTGGACTGGTCTCAGTGGTGGAGGATGACAGGACAAGGAGCAATGGGCTCAGGTTGCAGCCAGGGAGGTTTAGGTTAGAGATTAGGAAGAATTTCCTCATGAGGAGGGTAGTAAAACACTGGAACAGGTGACCCAGAGAGGTGGTGGAGTCTCCATCCTTGGAGGTTTTTAAGGCCTGGCTACACAAAGCCTAGGCTGGGGTGATGTAGGTGGGGCTGGTCCTGCTTGGAGCAGGGGCTTGGACTAGATGTGACCACCTGAGGTCTCTTCCAGCCTGAATTTTCTATGAGGATCCTTCAGCTGCATTTCTCTCAGAGGCTCCCTGGGACGAGCAGATAAAGGATTTCCTGAGGACAGCGCATACTTGAACTTAACAGCAGCAAATGCGA